ATTGCTGTACACAACTATTAGCATGTTGTTCTACACATCTGTGGCATATTCACCGATATCCATTGGGCTGGTCTGCACAAAACATTGATATATCATGAAAGAGTACTTGACTCCATTTCTGGTATCTTCACCATACCAAACAAAGGTTTTGTTCTATTGCTAAGTGGAGCATATTGGTTCATTTCTTTGTTGTTAATTCTTGATTCACACCAGCCTTGACATTCAACAGGTTAAATAACCTCATCACCTATGCATAATCAACTCTCTCACAAATGAGGTCATTTAGTGCATATGCAACAAAGTCATATTAGTGTATCACAGTCAACCAAAATGTAAAATAAACAAAATATGACACAATTCTGACTTTACGCTGATATAATCTATATAAATGTGATGTTGCCATCTGAAGCGTGGTGGAACTCTCTTCCTGGTGGAGTTAAATTGGACACACCTGGTTTAATGGGCTGATTAGCTACCATGGAAATTAAATTCTACAGGTGAAAAATTGTTTCATTTGATTGGCCCTTTGGATAATAGGACATTCCACAGAATCAGCAATTAGGACATAACAGCAGCCAGGTACAGAGGTGCAGAGATACATGACTACATACTGTACATGTAGACAAAACTGATTAAAAGCAAAAAGAATACTCGCATTTGCTTGATTCACTATGGAATGGTGTGCAGATTATTAAAAGTAAAATGATAATGTATAATTTATAATTTGTGCATATTTGTAATTTTGTAGCTGTGTTACCAGGAACAGTTGCAAAGAAAAAATATTTTTAGGTACCTCAATACATGTGTATATATATTTTGTAAATAAGTTCAGCAAACTCTTTAGAAAAGCTGCAGATTGGATTAAACAGATCAATGAAAGGAAGACTCTCAAGTGAATGTCCATGTATACTTTTCTATAGTGCAGTGTGAGAATGAACAAACGTTATTCATAAATGCAGAAATGTGGTCACTAATAATTCTGAATAGGTGAAATCATGAAGTTAGAACACCTGGATATAAAGGTTTAAGCATACTGCATTTGTTTTCCTAATTGTTATTTAAAAATCCAGTATATACTTGTAGTTGAACCTTTTTTGATAAGCTCTTTTTTAGTCCTATAAAACCTTTCTAATGTGAAGCATCAATCTTCAAATGAAATCCAGATGCAATCTGTATTCATACATACTGTATATTGAAGGATGACTGGCAAAATCATGAAACTTTTATTTAGCTGACATAACCTTCAAGGAACAGATGTGGGCTTTGAAATTTGTTTGGTTTACTTTAAGAAAGGAAACGTTGTCTATTATATGTCTTCAAGTGTTTTGTAGGTAAGCCAAAAAAAACTACCAGCACCTACTATTATTTAAATCTGAGAAATGAAAGCATGAGTGATTCCAGAAGAAAATGCTTTTATTTATTCTTTGGGCATAAGTTGGATTTCTGAGTTTTCTTACTGGATATGCCTCCTAAAATGTATTTTTATTAAACAAACAATTCATTTTTGTGCAGAGGAATTGTGTTATTAGGCACTTCTATTTTGCAATTCCCAGTGAACTGCAATATTATTTTACATACTTACAGGTTATTGTGTTTATATTGTCACACTTGGTGCCAAAAGACACTGGCAAAGCACCGATTTTTTTTCACATCTGAGTGATTTGTCCTTCTCTTTCAGATCCCCTCTGGGATGCTAAATCTAACAGTGGTCCTCTATCAGAGAAGACTACATAGTCCCCTGCTTTCAGTTGCACATCACTCAAAGTCACTATAGCCTGACACTCTATTCAACCAAACACTCAACAGGTTCGAGTCAACAGGAACAGGAGGATTCCAGTCAATTATATCATATTATATTCCAATATTTATTAAATTGTCACTTTTACACAGAGATATCAGTGCATTTAACTCAGCTTAATCCTTCCCACCTAGTTTCCAGTCCATATTCTACCTTTCCCCACAAAGAAACACCAGAGCAATGAACTTGCCTCAAGGCTAGTTCTCCATCTTCACCTTCACCTTCACCTTCAGCACAACTCATTCATCTCATTTATCACCAAGTACTTTATCATTTTGATGATTTGCAATATATCTTGCATAGCAACCAATACTTTCCCCCATAACTTTTCTACTGGCTGATCCGGTTTGGCCAGGAACAACATTCTTTAAAAAAAAACGCATTCCTGACAGTAGCTGCCAGTTGAATTTCATACTAATCACACTCCTAGACATGTTGTCATCTTTTCACTGACGTTAAAACCATCATAATTCTACCTGTTTTAGGTGGACTTCTAGCTCTCATCAATAAGGTTAGCATAGCAGTGTTCTCTCCCCAGTGATGCTTAACTCCACCAGGAAATAACACCTACTATCAGCCCTAGTTCCCCTAACCCACCGTGATCCTAAAATGCACACTAAAACCCAATTGACCTTGGCAAATGAACCACCCAACAGCCACCTGGCCAGAATCTGTATGCTTATATTTTCTCTATCATTTTACACTTCCTGTCTCACAGGCCCATAGGCTAGCTCACTCCATACTATATAAGCACCTTATAGTGCAGCTCTCATACACTATTCCCTATCCTGCCAAAGTCTAGACCTAGATCTGTCTTTTTCTCCCAGCTGCTCTTATAAGCCTCATAATAGCCCAGAGGCAAGACCAATCACACACAGAGCCAATCACACCATCTCCTTTTCTCATACGGAATGTCTCTCCCCTCGAGTACTAATTACTCATTAAAAGCAGCTGTGACTCATTCAGTCACTCAGCTATCCTGATAGTCACCGTTTACCATTAACACACCCATGTCCCTTTCCAACAGAAAAACTAGCTTTGGGTCGGTAGAAAACTTACAAGATACAGGAATACCAAGGAATTAAATGTTGGTGAGAAACTAAGATTAAAAAAGCTAAAAGTACAGAAGTTTTATTCTTATTGATCTAATTTCACAAGCAGTATTATCATGCAAGAAAAATGATATGATAAAAAATGATAGAAATATAAGTCTCTTATTGTCTACAACTCTATTCACACATATCCAAACAAACTGATTTTATGTTTCATCAAATGTCTAAACTGAACACTATCTTTAAATAACTTGCCAGTACCTTTCAGCCCAAACACCCCATTCTGATAATGAGAAAGAAAGTCAGTTCAATTCTGCTTTAATGAGGCACATACAATGAGGTCTTTTGGTTTCGATAAACATACTTTTTATTCCCCTTCCCTGGAACACTTCTGCACTGGAGAAGGTAATATCATTTATAGCACTGCCAGATAGTTGTAAAACACATATCTTTTGTTCTAAAAAAATGCAGATTTGCTTTTCTAATCTTTAGGGGTATGAAATATGTTTGTACATTAATACTGCACATCCTTAAGACCCTGGAGGTGTCCAGATGATCACATTGACTCCAAAGGGTGACCCATGGTTATCAGACCATAACAGACAAATTCCTGATTCTATCTCTAGAGATGCTCGAATTCTATTAAAACCATCTAAATCTCTATATGGTGTTTATAATTCAGCAGAAAAACCTCTGATATCTGGCTTCCTTGTATTAGCCAGTTCAAAAATTGCCAAGCCTCCCCATTCTGTATTCTTTTCCTAGAAGTTCAAAAGCAACAACACTGAGAAATCATTTAAAATAGTAAACTTTGAAGTGTAGAATCAAATATTAGGAACCGTATGCAAAACCAGTCTTAACTTTAAATACTGTTTGAAAATTATAAAATGGAGGCTCCCAAACTTTGTTATCAACTAATATATAACGTTTTAGATACTGTATAATATGTATTCAATATTTTTGTAATGGTTTTATAATTCTACAGTATATAAGGATTTTAACATTAACCTACATTTTTGTTTCAAACTCTGTGATGTGAATTAATTTTATCTGTTGTTCAGTGTTCACATCTTTATTTAAGATTTGGTACAGATACTAGTAAAAAAACATATAACCTTCTATAATAAATGGATATAAACAAAACGTTCATACATTTACGCAATTTATACTTTGTATTCAAAGTAATGAATACACAATCTTTCTAATCTTTCTTGAGACAAAGTTTTTAAAACCAATATATTATATTTTGTAAACATTTAAAAATATCTTTTAAGGGAAAATATAATGTAAATAGTGCATTTTCAGTACATTAATGAGGTAACATTTTAATCCCTACACTATAGCCATTACATTGCTTAAGAAGTATTAAATCAGCACTAAACTAATTTTGAATCTAGAAGGTTATCAACAAACATAATGACTTTTGTTCAATTGTTGAAAAAGGAGACATTTGAAAATGAAATTACACTCATCTAATTAAAAACATTCAGATGTGAATAGAATATAAGATTTGTTCTATTTGCATCCAAAGATTTATTTTTTTAAATGTGAAGATCAAACTGTATGACTCTAGTCTCATGGTCAGCAACATAACTTAAGGTTTCAAGTATGATCTGTGCAAACACTTCTAACAAATAATGTATTAATATGTGTATTTCTTGGTTACCGATAGTGAGTTTATCTCAAAAACATTTTTTTTTCTCATTGTATGAATATAAGACAAAGGATTTCCCAGACAAAGCCTGAACTTACACATATTACGAATATAATACTTTGAGTGTGCAAATGATTTAATTAAGTCATTTTACAGCCAGCAATTGTAGATACTTAGATGTATCTTTATATATAGAAATTAATTTGAAAACAATCTGGTATTATATTCCATTTGTCGTGATCAAGTTTTTGATACTGATTTATTTGTTACATAATATCAGAGCTTAAATAAATCATTCATTCTGTCCCTCTCAAACAAATGCAGATACATCATTTACCTTGGAAATGCAAAATGTACAAGAAAACATCATAATGAAAATCAGGACTCACATTTCCCTTCAGAGCGCGGTGAAAGATTAAAACCAAGACTAAATTAAGATTGTTGATTGTTCTCAGGCACAGAATTTCCGAAAAGACACAGAAGCCTACTTACTTACCAAGTGGCTGACCGGCAATGATCCTTGCATTTTCTCCTGCCACGGCAGCGCGAGCATTTCTCTCGCTCATGTACTGAACAAAAGCGTATCCTTTGTGAACGGAGCAGCCTACTATTTTTCCGTACTTGGCGAAGATAACTTCAATGTCTGCTTTTTTGACAATTGCAGTGTTGAGATTTCCAATGAACACCCTGGAGTTGATGGACCTAGGGTCATTCTTGTTGGTCACATTACTGGTCTGACTCTTTCCAGTCATTCTGTTTCAGACACTTTCCTGGGAAAAACAGAAAAAAGGCAGTAGCTTCTAGAGATTATAACTAAAATACAAATGTGGGTTTGTTAATCATGCTTAGCTGTTTTTGAAAACACCTAGAGGTTGAGATGAAACTGAGATATACAGTTATACAATATATACAGTGTTAATTGGAGATTCGTTTTTCAAGAATTTCTTATAAAACTATTTGCTAGTTTTAGGTAACTGGGCATGTGTGGACAGCTTGCAAAATGAGGTGAAGTTAGATCAATTTATATGAATTTACATGAAGATTTTACACTTCATTTTTTTATTTCAAGATGAGACAAACATGAACGATGTAGTTCTAGTCAGAATGAAAAGACAGTTGTTTTTACATGATATTAAATATTACTGCATAAAAATGAATTTAACAGAACAAATTCATAAGCTTTTATAGATTCTAGAACAATTTGTGTATAGCATCTACTACAACAGATAGCCTTTTGTTTGTTATTTGTGGGTGAATAATATAGGCTTAATTCATCTTTCACCGTGGACTTCCACAGTAGTAGTTTTTATCAACCTTACCTTGACCCAATACTGTGTGCCATTTATAATAATGGTTCCAACCAACACAGCTATCTATTTAGTTGTGAGATGGTAAATACAGGTTATTGGGTGCAAACTGTTATTAGAAGACCTCTACAAGCATCCTTTCAGACATAAATACTGTGCCCACAGCATCCACAATATACTGTACATTAAAATCTGTTGTTACAGTATTTAATCCCATGCTTAATTCATATCTTAAAACAAGCATTTCATTTTCTTTGCACATAAAACATAAAACATATTAGTAGTAGAAGCAATGTACAATAGCATTGTACTATATTTAGGCTGACACTATGTCCCCCCTAGGCAAGTATATTCTGTTTGAATACATACAGATACCACTAAAAACACCTTTAATCTTCAACAGATGATAGTTAACCAACAGCTTTTATAAGTTGCAACTTTTCAACTTTGCAAGATTGTCCAATATTCAATATTACACATAATGGTTTCCTGAGTTACCCACTGTAGCGGCATGGCTTATTAATAATACAGGAATTAAGTTTGCTGCTTCCTTGCCAGTCCCTCTCTCCCTCATCTCAGTGGTGCTGGACACAGAGAGGCCATTCAATTTGGTTCAGATTAAAGGTGTTTTTCTATCTGATAGAGTTTCCTGATAAGGAAGAACTCCCAAGGCTGAGATTCTCCAGCCACCCTAATAAATGGTCTCTGGCGCCTTACTGTCTGGGAGATTCCTTGGGAGAGTCACATCCCAGGTTGTTTACAACCCTAATGTCAGAGAGCATGGTT